ATTGTTGACTTCTTTCATTTAAATCACGTATCAAGAGCTTCAACATCTTTATTTTTTAAGAAACTAGTTCTTAGAGACACTCAGATTACGAAAAGAAAGATATACATCTTTCAAAAAAGAGTGAGCTCGATCATATATTTTGAGATGATTATTAGAGCGAATATCGCGTTTTCAAACAGTCATTTGACTGATTTTTTTCAAAATTTGAGTTTTCAGTATCGCGACGAGACAAATCGACTAATTTACAATTTACGCGATACGAAATATCTGACTATCTGTTATTTTAATGATGTTAAAAAGATATTTAAAATCGTCAGCGATGTCGCGTACGACGACAACTCTCAAACAAAATATTTTACTTAAAAATTTCTTTTTACTCTTTTTAACGATTCAATTAATTGAAAATTCACTCGTCAGCGAATAGTGACTAAGTTCATTATTGAAATCGAGTTAATGACACTTTTCTACGCTGCTAAGAAACTGTACGTCTGATTTCATTTGTTCAAGCAATTGAACTTTGATCTGAAGACTACGTCGATTATAAAATGCGATAATAAGCAAATTATGAAACTTTTAATTAAGAAAAACTCTTATCTGATAAGCAAGCTTCGACATATATTCATTCACTCTCACTGACTCAAATAAAAGATTCAAGCTGATCGTTTACACGTACGCTGAGTCTCTACAGTCAATATGTCAGCGAACGAGTTGATCAAAAAGCTTGATCATTAGCAGCATGAGAATTTCATTCATCATTTAGAAATGAAAGATATCGCTCATCTGATGAATAAAGCTTAATCTTCGAAGAATATGATGATTATTTTCTATGTTTTCTCATACTAAATTGCAAAAAATCATTTCTTATTTTCGTTCTTGTTTATTTTTTTTTTTTTCTTTTCTTATATTCTATCGTCTGAATGTTTTGTCACGTCGATTAATCGACGTAGTTCAACGATCAGTAAAGCTCGAAAATCTCTGTATCTATCTTAAAGCTCTCATGTTACGAGAGTTCTCGATTTGAATCTCTTAAGAGACTGTCATCGAACGAATTTCATCATTTTTTTTATTTTTTTGAATCGTTGAGATCGCTCGCTTATTAAAGAGTGTCTACGCTTATAAGAAAAGATTAGTCATGATTTTTCAACTTTTAAATTATCGCATTAGAAAATATTGAAGCTGAGAAGATGTCTTGAATGTTAAATCTCGCAGAGATTGTGTTTTTTTTTATCTTTTACTGACTCGTTCAATTTCTTCACTGTTTTGACTTCAAATTCTTTCGATTCTTTTTTTTGATTAGACTGCTGCGAGTGTTCTTCTGTTCATTTCTTTGTATGATGATTTTGATGATATTGCGTGTATATAAAGATCTAGAAAGTTCTTCAAGTTGAAGATCAGATCAATCAATTTCTTCATGATCAAATTCAGTGCTTAGTCATCATTGTTTATGCTTTCACGTGACTCAATTAGTTCAAAAGGTTATTAACAGGCCAGGCTGAGGCTACATAGGCCGACATGGATGATCGGGTGCAATGGCTACTGGCTGAACCCAATAGAGAGAGACAACCACGGGAAGTTGCAAAAGCGCAGGCAGAAAAGGAAGGACGAAGACGCGAAGAGGCAGAAGTTCGAGCTGCAAAGCCGACGACATTGTCTCTCTATCTCCAAGCAGACCCTGTTTGACATTAGGCAGCAAGGCAGGGACTATTGTGAAGCGCCCTCTGAAAGACCATCAAATCGCCGGGTTTGAGCTTTGGCGTCGTGTCTAAAAACGCAATGGTCCAGTCTGGTTGGAGCCAATTGTCTTCTCCCGAGACCAAAAGTGAATAATGGCACTTTTCTGAAAGTTAACAACGCTTCCTTGTCTTGCATCTCTACCCCGCGCGAGAGGGCCATGAGTTGGAAGCAGCCTTGAAGCTTAGCCTTTAGCGAATCCTCGAAAGATTTGAAATAGCTATAAATGCCAGAAGACCATCAATTTCAAATACAAAAGACAATTGCTCTTATCCCCTCGATTGTTGCCTTCGCTCCGTTAAGATGTCTTGGACCGCTAGAGCTGGGCGATTTCTCAATTTCTTCTGGAAATCAGGTACCACAGGAGTCAAGGGTATCAATGAAACAGCAGCACAAGACGCCGTGGAGGCGGCAATTAGCAGCGCGAAGGTATCCCACCAGGAGCTTGAACAAGCGAAGAAGGCGGCAGTGAGGTACTGATAGAATCACAAATCCCGACTTGTTGTGCAGTCGCTAAGAGAGTGAAAGCTCCCGTCCGCATTCGACGCCTAAAGCCGACGGTAGACGGGACCCCCTCCACGCAAAATTCCAGATCACGGGGGACGATGGCCGTCCGCTCACATCGGCCCATTACTACCCAAGCCCACTCGGGGGTAAACAAGTATGGTTTTCGAAGCCGAAGTATAATGATGGAAAGCAAGTCAACGAATATTTTCCCGAAGATACTGGGGAAGATGAAGATGGTAATTGATCTTGTGAAACAGCAAAGGGATAGAGCCCGGGCTAAGGGTCTCTTTTTGAGGATGTTCGTTGTCGGAATGTAGGGGATTCTGTAATTCGAGAAAGGCTCATAGTACCCGTAGTAGTTATATCAAGCCGGCAAAGGGAAAGGCGAAATCAACTAAAACATATTGTTTAATATTGAGAACTATATTGAATGATCAGAAAGTGTGTCAAGTGCGTATGTATACTAGTCCTCCGGGTGTGTGCTCAGTAATACTCCGACCGGCCCCACGTGACCACCCCGTATAATGCGGGAAATAGTAGCACCTCTCCGAGCTCCTTTGTTTACCGCTCCATATCAAGCTTTCCTTCGAAATTCATCGTCCTCTGATTCACTCACTTGCTTGTCTTGATGCTTTTTACCCGACCGTCCTTTGCTAGGTTAAGACGAGTCCCCTTACCTAGTTCTGTTATGGGACCTATGTCACGATCGGTCTCTTTCCTCTCCAGTCGAGAAGAGGATCAGCATCCAGATTATGACCCTAAAAAATATTATCCAGCTCGTGTTGGAGAGACCATATCTAAGCGGTACTTCATCATCTCAAAGCTCGGCTGGGGTTCCAACTCAACAGTTTGGTTAGCAAGGGACACAAACCGGTTAGTTCAGTTGTTGCTTTTAATGGATTGTTGAATAACATTGCCAAAGCTGGATCTGGCAGTCGAATAGATATGTGGCCTTGAAGATCACGAACTGTGGTAAAGAAGAACGGAAATCTGCTTATGAAGAGGCAGAAATATCACGACATATCTCTCGTGTGCGATCGAGTCACGAAGGTCGGGCATATGTTCGATTAGTTGAGGAGTCCTTCGAGATTCAAGGCTCGCTGGGGAACCATGTCTGCTTGGTATTTGAACCATTACGGGAACCACTCTGGGCTTTGGGGAGACATCTTGGAAACGTTGGTGTACCACTTGCGGTATTGAAGCCTTTCCTGAAATTGTTTTTCGAAGGCCTGGACTTCCTCCATTCAGAATGCCACGTTATACATACAGGTGGGATATGCCTCATTGCTCTATTCCTATTATCTCCTTTCCTCTAATTATAGAAGAAAAGATCTCAAAGCGGATAACTTCCTCGTGGGATTCGAAGACTCTACAGTTCTTGAGAGCTACGTCCGTCAACAGGAAGATGATCCCGCCCCATTCAAAGTCAGCGATGGCCGCCCCATATTTCAATCTCGACCTGATTTTGGGCCCCTGAAAAAAGGGGTAGGGCTAGCTAGGATCAGCGACTTCAGTGCCGCTGTGTTTGGAAATGTTTCTATCCCTCACAACCATGATATTCAACCTCTACCCTTCTGCGCGCCGGAAGTCCTTCTGAAGGCAACATGGACGTACAGTACCGATATATGGAATGTGGGAACAATGGTAGGATCTTGACGAGACTGGCCACGGATGGTGCTAACATCTGGTATTTTTCAAAGCTATGGGAACTTCTTGCCGACGATAGTCTTTTTGATGGCCGAGACCCCAGAGACAACTCATACTCCCGAGAAGCACATATGGGCCAGATGATACGACTGCTTGGTCCACCCCCTTTACGGCTATTGGAAAGAGCTGATGAACACGTATGCTCACAGCTATTTTCTAGCCAAGGTGAGATTATCCACTAAATACCAATCAAAATCAAGCTGCTGAGTATATCCTATCATTCAGGGCAGTTCAAATTCCCGCATTTAATACCGTCCGAGAATTTTGATTTGTCGAATCGTACGCCGTTTCTACACGGTGAAGACAAACGACTCTTTCTTGAATTTGCGCGGAAGATGCTTCAATGGGAGCCTGAACAACGCCCAACTGCGAAAGAGCTCGAGAATGATCCCTGGTTGAATTTTAAAGCTTGAACTGATGCGCTTGTATAGCTTGTTCAAGTTCTTCCAAAGATGACGCGAACCCGCCGCCACCTTTCGTAGCAGCCGATTCCTTGGTCTTAGGCAGGATGTTATATGTGTATGGAGTTAGATAGTTTAGAGATACTATGAGGATAGGATTTATTATTTTCATCAAAAACGCAGGTATATGGACTATCAGCTAAACGGAATTCAAAATTCTTAGAAATAAGGCTACGCGACGACAGACAACATCAATTCTACAGTCGGTGTGACCTACGAAGTGATGTCATCAAAACAGCATCATTTAGATCAGATAAGGTAAGGTTAGGGTTCCATCTGCATGGGTTGGAAATCGAAAGCTACCGGCCATGCGTGTTATTAACGGCGTCCTCTCCCTCAGGTGCCTTCCGGGGTTTATTGGGGGGTTGGGCTCCAAGCTTGATGATTCGAGATTGAGATTTCAATCGGATGATACGGCGGCTTAATCCCTCAAACTCACCTGCAACGAATACAGAAACTCTTACAGAGTCTTACGATCAACGATATCACAACTGATTCAACGGCACACGCTCAATAGCCAAATTGATACCCATCTAAACGCCTCCTTCAAAAAGATACATCAACGACATCAAAAAGATATCATAAAATCTCACAGGCCCGAGCCGTGATTCGAACACGGAACCTCACATACCTGTAATCTTAGTTAAGCGCGAATCATAGCCAGTTAGACCACACGGGCTGGTTTGTGAGATGAGTCTTACGCTGGGAGAGGGATTATCAAGGACCACGGTATGAACGCCGTACGCGAGTATGCTGGTTGCTGTAGCCTTGCGAACGTCATGGACAGGGGTCTGAACTTTAATGAAAATAAGCTCTTAGTCGAACCTTAAATCCGGAGATTTGTTGTTCCATTAAAAAGTCCATCTTGGACGTCAGCAGGATCTCGTTCATCATCGGTGTTCCGACATCAGTTCAGAGAATGGCACCGAGATTAAGCACCATAGTGGGATATTTGATCGCCCTTATCCCCGCGTATATTTTTATATTAGCACCGGTCTCACGGTTATTATTCGGCACAAATCTTCGAGATGCAGAAAACGAAGTTTTGGATACCAGCAAGATAGACCCGAATTTATTATCCCTTGTTAGCCCTGACGAAGTTTTGAACTGCTCAAGTCATTCCTATAATGTTCATATATTTTCAAGAGCCCCATTGGTTATTTATATTGAGTCTTTCCTGAGCGATTATGAGGCTGAGCATATGGTTCATGAGAGGTAGGTTCAATTATATTCCGGAGAGAGAGAGGTCTTATTCGTGCAGTGGCGCATATACTTCGTGCTTTTATCAATGCTCAGTTTAAGAAGATAACTCAACTCAGGATAAAATAACCCCGTTACTCTACCCCCAGTGAAAACAACTATGAGACCTCTCAAGTCTGGAATGGCCAAGTCTCCGAAATCGACTCATCCATCCGCGCATCGGAGAACGCCCTTCTAGAGCGCGACGACGTTGTTAAATGTGTCGAAGACCGAGCCCGAAATTTTCAAGGGTGGAGACCTCACCTCTTCATCGAGAGGATGAGAAGTCAACGATATGGCGTCTCGGGCCACTACGTCCACCACTACGACTGGACTGGTGCGTCAAAGCGTGGAGATAGAGTCTCGACCTTCATGGTGTACCTTGAAGCGAAATGTACAGGCGGCGGGACTAATTTCCCCCGCCTGAAGATGCCGGCGGATAAGAAGTGGTGTGAGTTTCTTGAGTGTGGTGAAAGTGGCGGAGTCGAGTATGAGGGTGTGACGTTTAAGCCGATCAAAGGAAATGCGGTGTTTTGGGAGAACCTGAGGGCTGATGGGAGCGGGTATCCGGAAACTTGGCATGCGGGTTTGCCAGTGCTATCGGGGACGAAGGTTGGTTTGAATATTTGGAGCTGGTATCAGCCGGGGGGTTAGCTTATGGAATCGTGAATTTCTCTGAACCAGGGGTTAAGGACTGGATTGGCTGGCATGAAACTCCATCGCCGATATATTAGTATTAAGCTTTCGAGGGTTGTCATATAATGGTATATTGGAAATTTCTCAACAACTGAAGCAGAAGCTGGTTCAAGCTCGGAGGTAGCCGGGTGGTATTGGCAAGAACACCGCGGGCCTTCTATGAAGTAGGCTATGCCACAACCTCGCATGGGAGAACACTAGAATAGCTGATACTGAGAACACAGATATCCAACAGAGAGCCCGCCTGCCGTTGTTTATTACGATATTGGAGCCTTCTGACGCGCTAAGCCTGAATAGGAATACTAATCTGGTTTCTTCGGCTTGGCTTGTTCGCAGACTTCATTTTGCCCAGATCTTGCAGTTCCACACAACAGACACACAAAATGTGGTAAAGTATGAGAACGACGTTTCAAGATCCGAAAAACGTAGAGTGAACAGCCTATCGAGAGACCAACTAGCATCAACGTTTTCGACAGCTGTGCGAGCTACAACAAAAGCGAGTCGATCATCGGGTTTGGAGCCAACCCTTACATACACACTCGCTCTATATCCTTTCCTTTCGTCTGACGTCTCTTCTTCGTGGATGTTACGCCCGAATGAAAAATGACTATGGACCAAAGTAACGGGGAATCCCTGGCGGATATGAACAGCCTTGTTCCAATATCACTCCCAAAACATGGTCCAGGTGCCCTTGCACGCCTTCCAAGCGAATTGTTCCAGATGATTCTGGATCAAACCTTTAGTTTTGGATGGTGGGGCGGTGACTTTTTCGATGAGATGGAAGAAGAGGCACATCTACTCCGTCTGAGACTTGTTTGCAGTGCGTACATACCTGGCCGTATATTATTCATGGAGCTTCTTGCACTCTAAAGTTTTGCCCACTAATTTTGGTACAAGAACGATTTGACAGCCAGATACTATACGCCGCGTACAAGCACGACGAGATAATTGAATCACTGGGCTGCAAATATACAGATACCGAGCCCATTCTAGCTCGGTTACTGGTGGAGAGAACCAGATCGTCTCGACGGAGAAGCTGTCCATTGAATCCCATAGAAAGCGCTGCATACGCCATCAGTACGGCGGCGGCACAGTTAGACACCCACGTGCCGAATTGCGGCATCGAACCCTGGGCCGGCTATTTGTACGGGTTGGCTAATGCTGCTGGATTCTACTACGGAACACATTCATTAGCCCAACACCTCCTACGGCATAGGGAAGGAAACAGAATCGGCACGACAGAGGGGGCTCACGAGACCAGCTTTGAAAGGTGTACAAATGACGACATTCTGGTAGCCGCGGCAGCCTGCAACAATTCTTCTTTATGCAAGCGCATGCTCCAAGAAGGCGCGAAAGTGAATTATGTTTCACCCTACTTCGGGTCTGTTATCCACGCAGCTGTATTCCAGGGACATGTGGAGACTGTCCGAATGGCCCTGGAACAAATGGACCTTGATGTAAACGCAAGGAACCCTAACGCTAGCCGGACACCCTTATTGGTCGCCGTGGATCGTGGCCATGAAGCCGTTGTGAAGGAGCTTCTCATGCGGGCAGATACTGATCCCGAGCTTAGCGACAATTACGGATACACTCCTCTTCGTCTGGCGTGCATGAAGCACTTAGAAGGCATCGTCAGGCTGCTAATAGAGCGTCCAGATATTGATATAAACCGAGGTTATATGCTTGGTGTTACCGCTCTTGATCATGCGGTGTCCCCCCGCCACTCTGTCATCATTCAATTGATCTTGAAACGGACGGATCTCAACGTCAGTGCACTTGATCGCCACGGGGTGACGCTGTTTACCCGTGTTCTGAGTAAGCTAGAAACCCCTGACCTTGACATACTCCAACTGCTGGTAGACCGAGACAACAGTGTTTTGAACAAAGCGTCGGAATGGAAGACGAGCCCGTTATGGGTTTGTCTCTCCCAGAACCGGATCCAGGGTGCGTCTTTTCTCTTGTCTCAGAACGACACCAACGTCGGTGTACGAGATGATCAAGGGCGAACGATACTCCACGAAGCCTCAAGACGGGGAAATGAGGCCATGGTTCGGGAAATACTTCGCTGTGGTCGTTTAGACCCAAATATAAAGGCCGGGGAGTACAAAATGACCCCCCTCCATGAGGCTTTAACCCGTCCCAGCCCAGCCGTTGTGAAAGCGTTGCTCGAGCACAGCCAAGTTGACGTGAACTCTACGAGATATGACGGGTGTACTCCGCTAGCTCGTGCAGTCTCTGCTAACTCCCGAGGCAACCTTGAAGTAGAATCGATCATAAAGTCTCTGCTAGACCGTGAAGACATCAACGTCGATCTACCAGGCCATGATGGGCAACCCCCGCTGTACTTAGCCGCATGTCATGGGTGCGAGAAAAGGCTAAAACTCCTCCTTGCTCACGGGGGCGTTGACCCCAGTCGCCGGGATATGGATGGCAAAACACCATTGTTCGCAGCTATCACTTTTGGGCGGTTGTCGGCCGTCCGCCTTTTACTCGATCAGAGGGGCGTCGATGCTAATGTGAAGGCGAAGAACGGCCGGTCCCCATTACTATCCGCCGCGACAATGATGTGCGCCGAAAGTCTAGACATTACTCGACTACTTCTAGCCCGGCCAGAAGTCGATACGACATACCGGGATAGTGGGGGACACGACGCATTTTTCCTAGCAGGCCTTTGGGGCAATCTACCGATGATGAAGATGCTACTAGACGAGTACGGATTCGACCCCAATGTGCAAGATTTTCAAGGGATGACCCTCTTACACTACGCTATATCAAGAGAGAACGGGGTTTTGAAGTATTTACTTGGGCGTGGGGATGTCGTCATTGGTGTGAAGGACTTCTCTGGGCACACAGCTCTCGACTATGCCGTTAAATCCGGAAACACATCAGCTGTTCAGTTGTTATCCGGGGCAGATGAATCGGAGGCGTAATATCCCGATTCTGGCTCGGGAAACAGCATCCATGACCTGGAGCCAGAGGCATCGGTGTATATTTTGTCAAAGGCGGACATATTAGCCTTGCATTGTTTTGAAAGAAACATCATGAAAACCCAACTGTTTGTTTGTTTCCCTGGCTTAGATAGGTATCAACAGTCTGCCTCAAAACTTGCAGAAACAGCTGGTCTGGTTGTTTATCCAAATGACGGGTTGATCTGAACCGATGATGTATCCTAAAACGTGAGGGCTTGAAATCATTATCGGGGGCCACGCACCATCGCACTGGTATTCCTTTCAACCGGACCATTGGTTCCGTAAAAAGGCGGGAATAGCAGGGCCTCTGAATCAGGTGTGCATGTCACCGCAAGATCGCTTTCTTTCTAAAGAATAGGTCAACAAAGAGCCCGACACAAAAACAAAGAAAGTCACTTGCTGCATTGGAGACATCTGATACCAAGTCCGGACAGTTGCTTTAGTACCTATATATCTCCCTTCAACAGACCTCGGTCTTCTCTTTTCTCTTCCTCCCTGACATTGTTCACAATCCCAGCCTCATCAACCGCCTATCATGCCAGCCAAGCTGTATTTGACTGCTGAGGATCTAGAATATTTGAGGCCCAAAGACCTCGAGGGTGTGACGTAGGGGTTCTCTCGATTCCCCGATGGTATATGGCATGCTAACGAAGTTGGAAGGTGGATTCAACCAGTGGACGAGGAAAAATGGACTGAACGAGATTATGAGAGACTGAAGTAAGAAATTCGGGTCCCCGACTTGAAATAATGGATACTGATATGAGGCCGAAGGGAT